CTTTTGTTACAACAAGGCCATTTAGTTAAAGACTAACTTTATAAGACAAATTTGCTTCAGTATTTTTTTCAAATGCAAAACAAAAATCAAACCATTTATTTCCTGAATTTGACTTTTAGCAAATCCTTCCAACCCCACCCCACCATTACTTAACTGCCACACAGCTGTAGAATTGCACAAGGAAAAAGGTCACCGAAGATTAAAGTCATATATAAATGTTTTGAAAATTGTTGTAAACAATTGGTCAAGTGAAAATCAATTTTTACACTCTTGGTAAGACAGGGTCTGTTAATACACACGCACACATCAGTGATAGAACTCTGGTGCAACGTTTTTCTTCCCTAAAGCATCATGTAAGAACATCTTACTATGAAAAGTCATATGAATATTCCACTTAATGCTTTGCTTGCAAAAACTCTTATTTTTTTTAATCCACAGTATATTTCTATATGTATGATTAATCTGAGGTTAAAAAAAAACCAAGGAGTTGTTATGAGAATAAGAAGTGCCACTGAATACCACTTCCTTAGGAGGGATGAGCAGGAAAAAGCTGCCTTCATAATCAGAAGTATGCTTAGCCTCTGTGGGAAGCAGGATGTTAGACCTCTGAAAGCAGAAGTGCCATATAAACAAAAGGACCAACTTCATCAATTAATCTAATGCTCATGAATGTCTTAATCCCATCTAAGGCAGTAGCCATCACTACGACTTGTGGCCACAAATTAATATGCGTTGTTAGATTTCCCCTTGCTGCCAAACCCAATTCTAATCAAATTAATTTGAAACAAAGAACATGCATGTTAGTGTGTAAGTCCACAGACAGGGTGTGTGAAGGGCTGAAAGGGAGAGAACAGGAGTCTTAATTCCATAAAAACTAACTTCCTTTCTTACACTGCATCCTCAATTAACAGTGGCACAAATTTGCTGAATATTATTCCTATGTATTCTCCCTCATTATACAAGAAGGACTCAGCGTCTGAAGATTTGGATCACCTTTGGCACTGTCAATTACTGAAATCCTTATGTTTATTCTTCTTAGAGAAATCAGTGGATTTTATTTGATGTGACATTTGTTTTCCGAGTTCAGCTGAATTTTGAAGAAGCCTATCATAAGGATCAAGACTGAGCCATTAGTTCACTATTACAAAAGAGAACCCAGTATACAAAGTCTATGTTGGAGATAATTGTGCAGGAATTTATAGAGCAAATAAGTTCCATTTGTGTGATTTAGACTATAGTGGCATAAGGTAAATTCTGAATATATATATATTCAGATTATATGTATATGTATATCTTCAGCCTTACTCTGTATATCAATAGAGAATGCCTGGAAAACATATAGTATACATACAGTAAATATACAGTACATACTGCCTTGAGTACACATGCTAGAAAAGAATATGGATTTGATAAAAGAAAGCCTTCTACAATCAGTAGGACTTAGAGATAAGAAAATATATGTGTGGAGATAGCTGTCTAGTGTATCTAAAATACCAAAATAAGTAATTAATGTTTTATATTGTAAAAATTGTAAATAATTAAGAAAAAGATTTAACCTGAATTCATAAGCTTCCAGAGTTGATCCACCAAAGCTTCATTGCATAAAGGAGATTCCATGTTCTTCGTAAATGGTGGATTCTTTGTCAACATGTTTAATATTTTATGTCTAAAAAAGGACAAAAATCAACTTTTAATCCACACAGATTCTAACCTGCAGGTTTTTTATTCTTGCACTTTCTCAAATTTTAGAGGAAGTCCTTAACCTTAATATTATAGAGTCAAACTCAATCATTTGTGTTCACAAAACTTAGGAAGTCACGTTCTGTAAATTTGCCTAATCTTCTAAATATATATATATATATATATGAAGACATCAATAGAGAAAAGAAGCTAAATTGTTCAAAGGTTGTCATTATTCAAGTCATCAGGCATATAGACTTGAACTATTATCTCTCCAGCTTAAAACCAACAGGCAAAACATTAAAGAAATGCATCATTTATAATCTTTGTCTGCAATTACAAACCAGAAACCAAATAATATTTTCTTTAGTATCCACACAGAATGATTACTCTGTTCAGAATACACTGCGAGTTGTGTGAATTTAAAGGAGAAAAATTATAGAAAAAAATTAAAGGATTTTCCCCTCATAAAAAAATAAAAATCTGTCATGCTATGTTTCTGAAACTAGTAGAATAGAATAGAATAGAATAGAATAGAATAGAATAGAGTAGAGTAGAGTAGAGTAGAGTAGAGTAGAGTAAAATAGAGTAGAGTAGAGTAGAGTAGAGTAGAATAGAATAGAATAGAATAGAATAGAATAGAATAGAATAGAATAGAATAGGAATAGAATAGGAATAGGAATAGAATAGAATAGGAAGGGGCCTTGCAGGTCTTCTAGTCCAACCCCATGCTCAAGCAGGAGAACCTATACCCGTGGTGGCGAACCTATGGCACGCGTGCCACAGGTGGCACGCAGAGGCTTCTCTGTGGGCACGCGCGCCGTCACCCCAGTCCTAGGCCTTTAGCTGGGTTTTATAAAACCTTTTCGCTTTAGGCCTCCGCCGCCGTGTGCAAAAAAAAAAAAGGTTCAATCAATCAATCAATTTCAACTTCTCGCGGGGAAAAAAAATCTCGCCAAGTTGGAATTGATTGATTTAACTTTTTAGTCCCCACCCAGCCTGCCGTTACCACCGCAGCCACGTCCACCCAATGGGCCACGCCCACCCAACTGGCCACACCCACTCAATGGGCCATGCCCACCCGGCACCCGACGATACATAAGTGGGTTTTGGGTTACGGTTTGGGCACTCAGTCTCTAAAAGATTCGCCATCACTGACCTATACCATCTCAGACAAGTGACTGTCTAGCCTCTTTTTAAAAACCTCCAGTGACGGAGTGCCCACAATTTCTGGAGGCAAACTATTCCACTGGTTAATTGTCCTCACTGTCAGGAAGTTTCTCAATTCCAGGTTATTTCTCTCTTTGATCAGTTTCCAACCGTTGTTTCTTGTCCTGCCCTCTGGTGCTTTGGAGAATAATATGACCCCCTCTTCTTTGTGGCAGCTCCTTAAATACTGGAATACTACTATCATGTCTCCCTTATTCTTTAGACTGGTATATAGTATACATATAGTATATATTTAGACAGTATATTTTCTAAAAAAATAATAAAGGCAAAATCATTTGAGATATACAGTATAAATCAAAACTATACTCTTTTGAGCAGGTGGTTATAGATGGGTTATTGGAAAAAGCAATTTTACATTTAGGGTATTATTTACCTACAAAATAAAGATAATTTTGTAATGTTGCCAAAAAAAAAAAGGCTAACCTGACATAGGGCACTGGATCATTCTGGACCATAGTTAGCAGCCACTGCAGTTCCTCATAACTTCGGTCAACTATTAAGGATAAAAATAAGTCCTGTTAAACAAGACGGTCGATCTCACTCATCAGAAGAAATTAGAAAAGGGGGACAAGAAGGGACAAGAAGAAAGAAGCTTACAAAACATTTTTTACAAAACTTTGAGAACAGGCATTACATTGGTGACAGACAGTGGAATGACAGAGCAGCTGCATTTTTTTCAAACCTATTATAGTAGTGTTTACAAGTTTGAAAACCTTTTGAATGTTCAATATTTCTGCACAAATATGGTCTAAAATGTGGTTACCAAACAAACGTAATGTTTCAGACTCGTTTGTTTGATCGGGTTCTCCATCCAGTTTTGGGACACGTGGAGGACAGATCGTATTCTAGATCGTATTTATGCAGATATATTGAAAATTCAAGAGTTCACAAACTTTTAAGCGCCACTGCATGCCATTAATTATCAGGCTGGGAACAGCATTATCAACCTGGGAGTATTGGCAGAAACATTTAAGTTACAGACAGGGCTATTGTTGTCACATCCATAACAGCAGTGAAATTTATAAAATTGCAGGAAGAGATTATTTTCTCCACAGGCTGCCTGATGTTTATGAACTTATGCCGCAGGAGTAGGGAACCTTGGCTCTTTTATGACTCGTGGACTTCAACTCCCAGAATTCCTGAGCCAGCATGGCTCAGCTTAGAAACCTCTCTCTTTCCCCTCAGCATGGCTGGCTGGGGAATTCTGGGAGTTGAAGTCCACGAATCTTAGAATTCCCAAGGTAGGTAGGAATTGGGTTAGCTGGGGAATTCTGGGAGTTGAAGTCCACAAGTCATCAAAGGGCCGAGTTTGAAGAGTCCTGACTTAACAGAATTAACAGAACTTGTGGACTTCAACTCCCAGAATTCATGGCTGGTTGGGGAATTCTGGGAGTTGACGTCCACAAGTCATAAAAGAGCCAAGGTTGCATACCCCGGGCCACCCCAATGATGCCCTTGACGTGATGACCCGATGTCTGGAGGCCGTGAGGGTCTGGATGGGGAGAAACAGACTCAGGCTCAACCCTTCCAAGACCGAGTGGCTGTGGCTACCGGCGCCTCGGCATAGTCAGCTGATTCCATCGCTGACTATAGGGGGCGAAACTCTGGCTCCCTCGGATAGGGTACGCA